GCAGGAATGTGGCACTACCCAGTTGTAGCACAAACATGGCCACCTAAGAGGACAAAGGAAGATGAAACTTCCCAAGCTTCCTAGAAGGATTAATATCTGACACATTTTCATTTTCAGTACACAGACATAGGGAACTGATGTGAAATGTGCTCCTTAAATTTTATATATTCAATAGCTTGAGTTTTCTTGAGAACATTACTAGTTTCCAAGATTTCCCAGATGTTTTTGGGTACAATTAGAAGTGCTTCAGTTAAAGTTAACATAGTTTTTTCTGAATATTGACTTTTTTTTCTCTTTTCCTAATAATATATGTTACCAAAAAGGAAATATGTTCAAATCAGTTAATATATGGGGTTCTGTGGGGAAAAATAAAATTTGCATTATCATATCTATAATTTTTTAAAAATCCAAAGGACATGATTCACTACTTTATACCCAGTAGGCTTAAAACTTCAAAAGCATTGAGGAGAAAAAGCCATTTCTTGAGTTTCTGCCAGATTCTGAGAAATGGAAACCTACTGTTTTGACTAGATACTCCATCAAGTAGCTGTAAAGGGCAAATATTAATAGGAAAACATCAGGACTTATGTTCATATGGAGAAGAGCAAAAGACAGAAATAGGTTAAAGGAATATGTCTTAAGAAACCCAGGAATCAGTAGGAAAGTAATTCTTCTTAAACTTTTCCTTTCTTCTCCTAGCATCATGCTCCATTGCAAAACTATTTCATGGCCAGACAAAATAATCTCATCTGAGTAGAAGCTGTTCATTGAGCTCTGCTGGACAAAAGATGGCAGGAAAATCAATTCTCTTTTCTCTACTAACTACTAACATTGCAATGACTAGTGCAGAGAAAGAACTTTTAGGAGATGGCCCACTCTTTGACTGAATGCATCCATGTAAACTCAGTTATAGAGATTTGTTGTTTTGAAAGTAACATTAAATTACATTCATGAGTATCCACACTGGAAAATGAACACAAAGTGGGTCACGCTGATGTATCCTCTTAATGTGTTAATTATAATATTTAGGTCAGGTCTTAAAATTCTTGTTGGAAAATAAGATTAACTATTAAAGAAATCAAAGGAAAGAATAGCAATTAGATCTCCTTCTATCAAAAGGTCACAGTGATAAATACGAGAAGTATAAAGTGCTATCTAAGTACCACCAGAGCATACACTGCAAAATATATCATTTCCATCATATCACAATGTCCCTTGGCCAAAAGCAGTAATACTCTAAACTTGTATTAGGGTGGAGTTTTCTGGGCTCAAATCTGAAAACTTAAGTTCTGATTCTGGCTCTACCACATCCTAGTTTTTGTGACTATAGAAAATCTGTTAAAAATTTCCAAGCCTCATGATCTATAAATAATTAGAATGATGCCTGCCCTATTGATATTGCAGAATTCTTGTAAAATGAATGTGAAATAACATATGAAAGAGCTTTGAAACCTGTAAAATGTGCAACATATGTGATGTACCTTGAATGTTATAAGGTGCTGTATATATTTACCTAGCATGGAAAACTAGCCACGAGATTTCAAAATGCAGAAAAGTCACACCATATTTTCCACTTCTGGAAAACATGAACAAATTTATCAGTGCAGAAAGAAATGTATTTGAATTGTTTGCATCTATGTGTCAGTTTGTCAAATAGAAATGTCCCAAGGGAAATACCCAATCAATCAATAGTATAGGTACAGTTGGAACACACTGATTCATAATCTGTTGATCTTCATCCTGAAAACACAATTAGTTAAGAAAAATACTGAACCAATTTTTCCCAAGTATCTTTCTACTTGTTAGTTGCAAATTATGACACTAACTCTTAAAGGTCATGAGGATGAAATTAGCATATTATTGGGGTAAGATGAACTCCAGAGAGTTGTATTTTCATTTCAGCTAAATGCAGTATACAAGCAATCCAAATCTTTGAAATTGTGAAACCTGTTTGCATATATGGAATTTTATGTATACATGGGATGTTAGAAAGTTCTTATCTGTATGACAAGAAATCTTATTTTTATTTATTTTGAGAAGCAAACTCCTTTGGGAGACCTGATATAGATCATCACCATTTTACTTTCTGGTTTTTATTTGTTTCCTACCCAGCATCTACTTAAAAGGGTTAATGATTTCTCATGCCTGAGAAACAAACATCTCCTAACCTGAAGTGATACACCAACAACTTCCAGCTAACCACTATCTTCTAGTAGCAACTTCTTTATGTCATTTCCACAACGTGAAAGTTACAAATGGAAGGGTATGGGAAAAGTTCAAGATATAAAAAGAGTTCAGCCTTTCAAATGTTCAAAATATATGTACATACCTTACAATATAAATCAAAAAGATTTAAAACTTATCCAAAGACTCAAAGTATTTTTGTAATATTCTACTCATACAGTTTTATACTTTAAAAAAAAATCTTCCCAGCAACGAATAAATTCCTAAAATGGAGAATTCTTGACTTTGAAAGTTCAACAAGCCCCTTAAGACCTCATTTCTGATACAAAATATTGTGTATGTAAAGGATGATTGCAAACATGTGAGATTTAGCTAAAGAGAAATTACTTTCTTCTGGATGACAACATTCTCCATAACCCAAAACAATGGCAGACATTTTAAGAAGGAAAAATAGGAAGAGGAGGAGGGGGAGGGATAGGACAATGAGGAGAAAGAGAAGAAGGAGAAATTTAAGAACTCCCTTTTCCCAAGCACCCAAATCTCAACAGTTTATTCACATCAAAATTAGGGATCTAGCATACAGAGGCTGAGGTACATAGGTTGAAGGCAGCAAGTACCTGTGCAACACAGGCTTTGTAAGAGGTGCCCACAGATGGAACTGTTGTTTCCAAGATTTTTCTGGAATTTAAGTATGTAAAATGAGGATCCTTCTAGAATATTTCACTTGGAGGCCTAGTGTTTAAATTTTATGCCAATGTTAAACATTTTTTAAGCTAATGACTTAATAGAGAGCTACATCAATGCCTTTTACTAATAATAGGAATGATGATAATTCTAATCTGGCTAGCTAATTCCCAAAAACTTGCCCATGCAACATTTTATGAGAAAATAAATTTCTTACAATATATTTCAGCTGTTTGTAGTAATGTTGATGTTCTGGGCTAATGCTGAAAACCTCTGACACACATTATCAAGGTTCACTAGCATGATATTATTTGGTAATGCTTTTATAAACACCATATGTTCTATATAAATTGAATGTATGTCATATTTCAGTCCATTTTTTGCAAGTGGCCTTCAAGTAATGAAAAAAGAAAAGAGTGCATAGAAAATAACTATACTACCCAAGTGGATGGAATATTGCATGCATTTCAGGTTTTGTCAGTTTGTCTGCAATCTGGCTCTCACATTATACCAAATCACTTATTTTTTGTTCAGTGAATATTTATTGAATGCCTACTGGGGCAAGGCACAACACTGTTGCAGAATACAGAGATAAAGATATAGCTCACACTTTGAAAGACCTTATAAAGTGAAATGAAATGCTGATGTTGGGAGCAGGGAATGTTAACCAGGAGCATAAAGAACTGTAATGTAGGTGTTAATAGGAAGGTAAGGTCTAAGAAGCTGTTTGAGTGTGAGCTAAAAGCCTAAAAGCCCTTTGTTCTCTACTGAGTATAGTATGCAGGTTTGGGGGAGAGAGCTAAATTGCTCGTGATAATAGGAGAACAACTGAGTACTGTGTAGGGATTTGGCAGAAAAAACCTCTGTGTGACAAGAGAACATGAGAAAAAAAATGTCAGATGGATACCTATGAGGTTATGTGCTGTGGAATTCAGAATATAAAGCCCTTCTCCATACTATTCAGTAATAAAAAGGAATGGCCTATCAAGCCATGCAAAGACATGGATGAATCTTAAATGAATATTGTAAACAAATGAAGACAGTCTGGAAAGGCCACATACTGCATGATTCCATTTATATGACATTCTAGAAAAGGCAAAACTATAGAGACAGTAAGCAGATCAGTAGTTGCCAGGGGCTTAGGTGTTGGAAAGTATGTAAAAGGTGAAACATAGGGAATTTTTAGGATGGTGAAACTATTCTGTATGATACTATAATAGTGTATATATGACATTAAGCATTTGTCAAAACCCATGAACCTTAATGTGTGCAAATATTTAGAAAATCATTTGGAGGTCAGGAGACCCCAGGATGGAATGCAGAATGTGACAAAGAATCTAACTGATGACCAATGCTTCATTTACTCTCTATATATGTTTTGCCTTTTCTAGAGTGTCATTTAAATGGACTCATACAATATACAGATTTTTCAGACTTGCTCAATGTATGAACAAACCTCACTGAAAGGAATGCAGAAAATGTGCTCATGTGAATAACTCTGGAAATTGGTAAAGAATGTAAAACCAAAGGCAAAAAAGAAACACTGTACTTGAGTTGATAAAGTTATTTCCCATGGGAGTAGAGGTTAACAATTCTGAAACCACTATAAATATACACTGGAATTGAAAAATCAAGTAAATGGATGATAGACAGTGGGAGCCAGGTTTCTTACTATTGCATAAGTTATAGACAAGCAAGGGGAGAAGGCTAGAATAATCAGTATGGGAGGGATAAGAGTTGAAGACATCAGTAGGAAACCATATTTAGTTTAACACAGACATAGATGGATACATTTAGAAATATATAGGTATGTTTACATACTTTTGTTGATATACACACATATATGTCCTTGCTGTGTCAGCTGAAATGGCTTAGAAGCCAACAACACACCTGTGGCACACCTCACACCCAGATCTTAATCTCTAATACCATTGTCCAATGAAAGAGACCAGATCTCCTTAGAAAAATGGCAATTCTAGGACTAGGGTAGGAAATATACACTATGAGCCTGGATCATCTTGTAGTGCCAGAAAGTGAAAAAGAACTCCAAAATTAAATAACAAACAAGCAAATAAATAAGTGGGAGTATATTAAGGGTGGACATAGAAGCCAACTGAAAAAAGCTCCCAATGTTCAAAGCTGGAACAATCTGAAGAACAACATAAAGTAGTACTG